ATAAAACAGTTCTAACATAGTTTTCATACATCAACACAGGCTCACTATTTGGCAAGATGACGAAGCCTTACATTGGCTACTTAGCTTACTTTGTCTTCTTCATCAGCCAGCGTCCTTGGTATCTGTTGCTCACTGAGTTGATTCTCGCTACGTAGCCAATGTAAGTAATGTAAGTCATCTTGCTAAATAGTGCGCCTGTGCTGATATATGAAAACTGTGTTAGAACTGGTTTATAAATGGTTCTTAATGATTAATAAAGTGTAACCTAATTATAAACCCTTTATGAATCCTTTATAAGGGTAGTCTTATTGTAAAGTGGTACAGAAATAACTAATATATTGTAATTTTTGCCCTTTTTACTGTCTTTTGTGTATCCCCTTTTCATTGATATTTATTAAGTACTGGCCTCCCCCAGTTATTTGCTGAAAATATTTATTTCATTTCATTTTGATATGCCTCCGTGCCAAGTATTTTATGAAAATGGTGTGACTGTAACATCAACTCTGAAGGATTTTAGTAAAAAGTTCAGATTTTGCTCTTTGGTATTGCACTATGGTCACTTGTAGTGCTCCACTACTGGCAGTGTCTTAGACTTCACTTTAATGTAAATATAAACATGTCAATACATAAAAAATAAAGAAATGTTGGTGTTAATATCAAGTGTAAAGTTCTCTTCCTGTTTAAATTACATGAAAATAAGTCAAACAGTGTCACACAGTGGATGAGTTTGGACATTGCTGTTTATTCAAGTTGACATGACAATATGAAAAACAATATATTTAGTGGAATTAGCATGCCAACTTATTAGCATTTGTATGACTTGTAAACTATATTGAAAACGTATTTCCGGTGTGATTTGAGCAGCGGACTTTGAAAACACATTTCAAAGGTGCTTCTCAATAACAGGGCTCATTCTAAACAAACATGATTACTTATAGTCCGTTATTAGCATTATTGACTCAAAACATAGCTTATTTGTAGCTGCCAGCGCCCGGTAGGATATGCCGGATTAAAGAAAGTGTACAGTATGCTATGAAGAAGCAGCACTCAGTTAATTACTTTATTCTCTTTCACTAGTATTCGATGCATGCTTTATAAATATTTCCTCCATTTATTAAACGTTACAGTTTGATTTCAGCCGTCGAAAGATGACTGCAGTTAGATATAGGTTTAGAAACTGCTTCCTGGCTGTCTCTGGACACAATAATATCATATGTATCATATACACATAATTATGATCTGGGAAAGATAATGGGATAATAAATGTTTCCCTAGTTGATAGTCGTAGTTTGAAGCTTTAATAGGATTATTAAGAGTCACCTTTGCCCAGGTCCACATCTTGAGTGAATGAAACCACTCAGTGTGTACTTGTATGCATGTTGTAAGAAACATGATTCCTAATCTCATGAGACACAAACCAAGATATTGGTGCAGGGATAGCGACCCAACATTTGAACCATTCAAATCTATTCAACAAAAAATCGTGCTGTAATATATATATACGCTTTTCAGCATACAATATGAATTAAAGTGAAGTACAGTGCATATATCCCTTCACAGAACTAAAGTATGCCTTTAAAAAAGGTTTAATGAGATGATGGTATCAAAGCTGAACTGTATAACATAAAAAGGCACACATGCTGATAACCCAACCCCAGCAGGGGGTCTGGGGGGATTCTCCCCCAGGAGATTTTTAGAAATACTAACATATAAACTACGCATTCTGGTACACTCTGAGAAGAAAATAAATAAATGTATTACTACCCGACATATTAATAATATTTTATGCCATGGTTTGTNAAGTGAAGTACAGTGCATATATCCCTTCACAGAACTAAAGTATGCCTTTAAAAAAGGTTTAATGAGATGATGGTATCAAAGCTGAACTGTATAACATAAAAAGGCACACATGCTGATAACCCAACCCCAGCTCTCCCCCAGGAGATTTTTAGAAATACTAACATATAAACTACGCATTCTGGTACACTCTGAGAAGAAAATAAATAAATGTATTACTACCCGACATATTAATAATATTTTATGCCATTTGTTTGTTTTTCACTTTGTTCTGACAGCTGAACTTGTCTGTGTGAATTGTGGGTAAGGGTAGATAGCCCCCATGTTCTGTGACCTGTCAATCATCAAACCGGGGGTCATATTTCATTATGTGTTCATTTGTATCTGAAGTTGTACCCATGGATGTATAAAGAGTAGTTCTACCGCAAAGTTATTCTCCATGGGCATGTTCACCATTAAAGCATGCAATATGGTTTTATTCACAAATTCAATTAACACAGGGTGAGTTATTTAAAAACAAATAATCATCTTGGGGGTGAAGTATTTCTTTAATAAGAATTTCGGGTTGTATTGCTTGACATGGATTGTGCCCAGATGAGGACTAAAGCAGCATCATAGCTTGTTTATATCTAATATTAATAAACCCAACGGCGCGCCCATACATAACACTATAAACAAAACTAGATGCAGCAGTACGGGGAAAAAAAGAAAAAGCCTTTGGCACTTAGTCAAGGCATTTAGGATGGGGGGAGTTCTGTTATTAACATGTCAACATTATGCTCACACTGAGAACACAGGGCTGTGTGACACCTCTTAATAGTACACACTGACAGAAAGCTACTAGTACACCGACTAAGCAAACACGTGTTACCATTGACATTACACTTACAATGTCCTTTGCTGTGGCTTTCAATTGCTGTTTGTCTTTCTGCATTGCTAAACTGACACAACTAAAAATAAAAATGTGCCTCTAACAATCATTCCCTACATTACATAATAAAACATGAGAATCAACCCTTACATCTATCCCAGAATGTGGACAATACTGCAGTTGAATACATGAGTTCTACTGTAACTTTCACACTATCCCTCCATAAGGTCCAGATTGTTGTGAAAATAAAAGAAATACTGAGCAAAACACACAACTACATCACTCCATCTCACATATACGCACATCAATAATCAATAACATTCAGACTAGGAGTTATTCCTGACCTCTTTTTGTTGTGTTACATTCAGGTGTGTTTAACAGTCAGCATGACTAACTTCCTGCCTTCATGGCACACTAGACTCTAGTAGGATATAACTATTGTCACTCTAGTGACTAGAGTGACAATAGCCAATCGTCATTGGGGCCATCTCTGCTTGGTCTTTGGCCTGGTCTTTATTTCTGATTCTCTGCTGCTCTAACTTCACCCAATGGGCCTTTCTGTGGTCATGGGAGTGCCTCTGTCTCCCTCTGGTGCTCAGGGGTTGTACTCAGTGCCACTGTCCCCCAGTCCATCTTATCGCATTTTGTAGTCGTGGGATATTTCCGCTTCACACAGCTGCCCTTTGAAATCCAGCTCAAAGGTAAAGTCCATGTCGCGCTGCAGGTTAAGAGAGGAGAGAAAAGAAGCATGGTTATCAAAGAGAGGGGTACGGAAGCCTTGAAAGGCAAGTGAGAAAGAAAGAGTAAGGTGAATTCATTTCTAAGTCTTATTGTGTTTATGATCTTTATATATGTTTTTTAGGATCATTTTTCAAAATGTTTGTTGTTGTACAACTCAAATCCGCCACAAAAGGGGCATGGAGTAATAGGGCTGGAAGAAAACATATATTATTTAAGTCTCATTTATGACATAGTAATTGCAAACTATTTACGAATTTTCACAGAAAAAAAAATAAAAACTTTTTTTTTTTTTTTTTAATGTGAAAAATAATGATTACTTAAAGTCTGTTGTTAGCATTATTGACAAAACCTTTATTTCCATTGTCCCAAGTCTTTAACACAGGAGAGAAACATTTAGATCAGAGTGTTTATGACTACAACGTTTGCCCCTCGGCCCCCTGGGCTTTTGAAAGGGGAAGTAATGATTAAGCAAACACGTAGCATTTTTTTCCACTTTGTCCTGACAGCAGAACACGGTGTTAAGTAAGCACAGCCTGTTTGTTTGAGACAACAGGAGGAAGCCAGCTTCATACTAAAGGGGGAGGAGAGGACACGGAAAAGGTCAACAATAGAATCTGTTGTTGTTTGTCTGGAAGTCTCTGCAGTGCTGCTGCCTTCCTGACCGCTATCCAACACTGAGGAGCAAACAATCTGTCAACTCTTACTAAAGGATGGATATACAAATAATGTGGTTATCCTTTTCCTGACTTGATGTTCCTGTGTTTATGACTTCAGAAAAGGTACACAAAAAGATAAAGACTTATTACCTTTACTCCAAAGGCCATAATTCAAAATCCAGAACATCAGGCTGTAAAAGACTTACATTGTTTTTCTCATTGGGCTTCATTTCAATACTGCCGACAATCTCCTCTCCTCTCCGCACCGTCAAATAGTCCTCCAGGTAAAACACTGTCTGCTTCCAGTGTGTGTATTGAGCATCTGGTGCTGAAACACACACACAAACAGAAACACAGACTTAGATCACTTATAGGCCGTCAATAGTGTTGGCTTGTTGCCAGGTCTTAAAAAGAAACCCTTTGACTGGTGTTCATTCCACAAAGAATGTTAGACAACTTTTGTGGTAAGGACTACAAATAATCTGGATCAGATCTTAATGACTAACAATTTATTAACATTTAGAAGCAAAAAGTTATTTATATTCATAATAAAATACAATTCCTGAGTGTTCAGACAAGCAGTGTATGTTTTCGGATGTTTGTTTGATTGTCAGCATGATTGCGGTAAAAAAAATGCTGGCTTCATGAAATCTTGTGGAAAGGTTTACATGGGCTAAGGAGAAACCTATTACATTTTGAATCCGAAGGATGGATATTCAAATGATCTTTCACTTGACGCTGGTCTGCCCTCTCTTCAGCAACAATTGAATCCTTTAAAAAATATTCCTGATAAGAAAGATGTACCAAAGATGTTTCGGCAGAACACAAACTGAATGTCTAAATATGTCTTCCCCTTGCAAAAAATGCACTATTTCTCTACACAGAAATGCAGTCTCTTCTCTACCTGACGAGAATGTCAGGATGAGAACAAACCAACTGTACAGAATAAGAGCAGAAGCATGGAACCTAGTCTGTGTCTTTTTAGAAGTGAAGCAATGTTGCAGAAAGAGCAGGAAGCTCCACTTCAATTCAAGATGACAGCGCTGAAGGACAAGGCAGGAAATGCATGACTGTATTCTTGACCTCTTCACTGTTTCACGACACGATCTTATTTCATTGCTTTTGATATCGTGCCCCCTTATGTGCACTCCTCTGTGTCTATGAGTTTGTGTGTGTGTGCACAGACACACAAACAGGTCAAATCTGACACCCCAGCCCTAAAATAAGTGCGAGCATCACCCAGTGCTGTGACGGATCGCTTTGCTGCGACTCAAAAGGTCAGTAGCTCTTAAATTGAATTCCTTCCAGCTTGGTAGCTTTGCTTTTAAGCACGAGCTCTTTGTGATACCATACATAAAAGGACTTGCCAATCAGCGTGGCTGCAGCACAGACATATCTCTTACATTTGTTGGGCAGAGTTCAAAAAGACACTGACAAGCTAGATGCGTGACTCATGCTAATTCAGTATGAGATAGCATTTCTTTAACCGACAGCATGAATTGCAATCTTTGACTTGCCTCTTCCTCCTTTGCCTCAGAGTCTGTTTGTGTCTGCGTTAAAGTTTAGATCTGTATCCTTACATTTTGCTAAGTGAGAATTTTTTGGAAATAGGAAAACTTGCACAACAGAAAATTGTCATTGAATACATTTAGGGGAAGTGGGTAGGGCAGAGAAAGCTTGTTCTTACAACAGTGATACATGCTGCTTTACATATAATTTTAATGTGAGATATTTAGGGCTACCACTAGAGGTCAGTCCCACACAGATTCTGACACAACATCCGGCGCTCACTTTAATCCAGCATTGTTTTTGCTCATATCAATCAGCTGATGTATGTTGTTCTAATGTAAAGGGACAGTGACATTTACTATTGAGATAGATGTCTTGGTCCCAACAAAGACTGCATTAGAAACTCCCGTTTGACTTTAGCTACATTAATAAAGCAAGTGCCTTGTGAAGCTGTCCAGCTGATGGCCTTGATTTCAGGTTCCAGGGAGCATTCTGTTTCACGTAAAATCTTTTCTTGTGGATGTTTTCTATCTGCCTAATGATGTGAAATACGTTTCCAGATGGTATAAAACAAGCCCCGGAATATCCTCCCTTCTTCTCTAAGTTTCCCTCCCTTACAGTAGTGTAGGAAGTGCTTGCTAACATAAACCATAGCCAACAATTCACTATAAACTAATGTCTGACGCTCTGCAAGCCCGAGCAAGCAAACAATACAAGTTATATAACTATAAAGTTACATTTTTGGAATATTCAACACCAAAATAATAAAAAGTGAAAGACAGGGAACCAATCAGACATTGATATAAAAAGGGCAGTTTGGCATTTGATTACAATAATGTGGTAGTCGTTAGTAGCCTACTGTACATGGCAATAGAGACTTTGGAAATGATGTCCTCAAAGTTTTCCTTTTGTTCTTTAACCATATCGTTTTTATAGTTAAATCTTCCCAGCATCTTCTCACATGAAACAGTTTCCTTTGCCATTTTCAGTGTGGTCGTTTGAGCCTCTTTCCAACATCTTAGCAACCACATGGAACAGGTTACTAAGCTATTAAGTTATTAATACTATGTCAATCACTCAACTGCGGCACTACAGACTAGTTAAAACTTTAGACATCTGGGCAGAGATTCTTGTATTGGTATGATAATGTCAAAGTGTGTGGATATTTAACTTTCATTTCTTGTTTCTAATGTGGTAGTCAGAAACACTTATTTGCTGCATACAATAGGTAACTATAGAATATTAATGACATTCAACATAGCTTAGCATAAAGACTTAAAAGGATGGGGAACAACTAACCTCGCTCTGTCTGAGGATAACAGATCTAAAACGTATTAGCACATTACAATAAACTATTCTATTGAGCCCTTTTATGTTCACTTGTTCAGAGATCCGTGCTTCCATGGGGAGATCTATTTGTTTTTCATTGTAAGAGCTGTTGATTTTAAGAACAGGCCATAACCTTTCCCTTGTTTCCTTACTGTGAATCAGAAGGGCCGTCTTCTTTTGCATTGCAAATTTCATCTCTACGCTACAGGGCTCACTGAAGCCATCAAGGGAAGTAAATATATTAATGAGAAACCAAAAGCAGCTCTTCAGTAAAGCATCTACTCTGTTTGCTGTCAGTAGACTAAAGGGAAATACTAAACCTGGAGCCAGGGTGATGCTGTTTTATTGCTGTGAAGGCAGGCAATGAAAAAGGAAATGTTTTGTTTATCATTACCATGATAAACGACCTGATTATGATCATATAATACTGTAGCTCTAATACTTCCAAGATGCACACACATTGAAACATATACATAGATTGCTGTATCACAAATGAGACAACATGTAAGGCATCTTACCAGTGGAGAAACCAGTCTTCTTGTGGCACTTGGTGAACTCGATGTGGAAGTAGGTGACCAGTGCATGGATGTAGTCGTTCCTTTGGATCTGTAGGCAGAACGCTGAGGTGAACGACAGGTCCTCAGTCTTCACTGTGTAGATGTCCACCTCCTATGGGAGTAAAGAGAAGGACCCTTCTCAGATATCTGGAGCATATCAGCGAAGGACTATTTTGACCTTTTGGGAAGAATGTATAGTTGCTTTCTAGCCGAAAGGTAGTTAAAAGGATACTACTCTAATTCCTGCCTGTTATATGTAACACTACAACTAGCGTCTGGTTAGCTCAACACAAAGAATCAACATGCAGAAACAGCTAACTGGCTTAAAAACACACACACATCAAGTGTTGAACAATATTTTGTGGTTTAGAGAAACATATAACAATTGAATTAGTGAGCTTTTGGTACGCGGGTAGGTCAATGAGCCAAGCTAGCTTGTAGCCAACTCATTTTAGCAAAACCAGCTGCTGATGTTAGCTTTTTTATAGGGACTTGGAGTCGTATTGTTATTGTTAACTTGTGACTGACATTATTAGTTACCAGATGTTTTACCCAAAGTGAATTACACACTCAACACTTCTCATTCAACTTTTGGTAAAAGAGCAACAGCCCTAAGCATGTTTCCCGAAAATGCCAAACTATTTATATTTTCTCTTCATGGTGTAAAGTTCTAACCTCAACCATGTTGTTCAAACCACACACTTACAATATGACATCATCTAAAAATGCTAAAGAAACAAATCCAGAATTTATACATGTAATGTTGACATGCATTACATTAAAGATGAAAATAACACACACATCAAGAAAGAACAGCTTTTACTAGCAGAATGATATAGGGCGGCCATTAGACACCAGTGGTACTGTGCCTGGTAAATATCAGCAGGGTTATGTAACCCTTGTGTCGGTGCATGTAGGACAGGGATTCGGGGACTGAGGTCATCTGGGAGCTCTATGGTGAGGCTCCAGGTGTTATTCGTGCATGGGCAACCCCACATCTGTATGTGTCCCCAGATTCCAGTAAGTTTAACAGGGTATCTGATAACCCGTTGTCCCACTAGACCTTGTTCAGAAAAGAACATGTTGTTCCAGATCGTGGTTTACTGTCGAGTGAACAGCACTGCGCCAGCTATCATCTTTATCACTGAATAACAGAGGAGAAAGCAGCTCCCCTGAAAAAACAAAGTACCCTGCAGGATAAACACGCAGGCAGGTGTGATAATCGTATTTCGTGTACCCTCAACAATATTAGATATTCACTGCTAGCTTGCTTGCTTTAGCACCAGATGTCACATTAGCTGTGGAGGAATGAGCCTTATGTTTGCTGGCTATAAAAACAATGAAATATTAATGTCTAATCCCCCCCTGCCATCTTCAGGAAATAATCACTCCAATAAACACATTACAAGACATTAACTCTGGTCATGCAGTATAAACCTCTCAAAGTCACATTTCAAAGTTTAAGACTACAATACAATATAAGGCTCTGCAATGTCTGCAGGTCTGTACCCATGCAATTACTCTGAAGGCAAAATAAAAGTTTTAAGAGCCCTATCATGCAGGTTGTAAATGTAAATTGGTTATTTTCTGCAGGATTATACTCGGTTATGATCCTTGCAGAGTATTGCTACCAAAGGTTCAAGCAGCACTTTAATAACATTAGGTCCTATGTGTACTTCTCCTCAGCTATTCAACTTTAATGAGGCCGGTCAGTAATCCATTTAAAGACAATAAAGCTTGTCAGCGGGGCATTCATATTGTGAGGCTTCTTTTTTCTACATTACATTGCATTTAGCTGATGCTTTTATCCAAAGCGACTTACAATAAGTGCATTAGACCAAGAAGATACAAACTTGAAGAAAACAGAATCATATAAGTACATCAGGTTTCACAGAGCCTAAACATTTCAAGTGCTACTCAACTAGCTTTAGATAAGCCAGTCCTTTATTAGTATATTGGACCATATTCTACATAGTCCAAAGACCTTCCCATCAGCTTCATAGCTTTTTTTATTAAACTCTCATGATTGATCTCTTTGCTGGTTGTATGTTATATCTTATCGCATTTCAATTAAAATGTGTATGAAATCAAGATAAATAAAAACGATGTGCTTCACAATCAGCAACATCGAGAAAGCAACACTGGAGGTATGATCCCACAGCCATTTTCACCAGGATGGAGGCGAGACAGGGCAGAGATTTCCAATCAATGCCAGAGATAACAAGGTCACTATGACATGGAGCACAATCAGGAAGACTAGACAGGCTGCAATTGGCATGCATGGCAGCAGCCTGACCAGTTTAATTGCCACAGTGAGAGGCATAGACAGGGCCACAGCAGCACACCAAGCTCATACTCATACCAGCAACAGAATGTTATACAATACGTTCACCAATCAATCGATAGTTTGTAGTTATTGTTTTTCTATATGAACCACTGCAATACTCCTTCATTTCTGCAATCTAGTTTACTTTATTAAAGCCATTTTACTTTTCATTTAAATTATCTATCACTCCTTATTACATACTATGTGGGATGCTCATTTAGTTCTGGCACACTGAACCAGCATTAGTAAACAGTTTGTTGTACCATGAATACCTATAATCAGTAATGTATATGTAGAGCACAAACTCAAAACAAGGTCTAAATAAATAAAAGCCTCAAATTTTGTAAAGATGTTTTTCTTATGTTGGCCTGTCCCCAGCAGTTTATTGCATTGATATTTTTGTGTGCCTCCTGTCTGCTTCTCTTCACTGGTGGCATGCTGAGAACAATCTATTGTAGATAATACAATAAATATGAATAAGTCCCTCAAACAACCCCACTTCGAGACATCCCAAATATCTCTCTAAAGTCCTCAGGAAAAATAGAAATCTGAATATCACCGATTGACCTTAAGCAGTACTTGGGCAGAGTTGGGCTTGAAGCTGAATGCTAAATTGAGCATGCTAACATGCACACAATGACAATGCTAATATTATAATATTAATCAGGTGTAATCATTAGTTAGAGAACAGTTTTAGCATGTTCCCTTTTATTGATTAGCACTAAACACACAGTAAAGCTGAGGCTTAAAAATTGTGATTTCACTGAAAACCACAAATGCTGCTGGACCTAGAGGAAAAGTAAGAGGATCACTAGAATCATTAGGATTTATCCTCTGGGCATTATGGACATGAACCAAATGACATGCCAATCCATCCAAAGGCTGTTGAGATATGTCAGTCTTGACACTGTCATCCCCAGAGAAAGTATAACGGCTACACTAATGTAAAATCTCTGCAGCACTGCATTGAGTCTAGCTGACATTTACAGGTAGTGAGGCTTTGTGTTAAATGAATCAACTGCTTTCAGCCAAAATATTGTCAACATTTTACTGACCTTGACGAGGCAGGCGTTGGTCACCACCTGTTTTTGGTCCACTACGTCCACCAGTGGCTCCCTCATGGCTACATTACGGATACACGTCATGTCGAAGCCATACACGTTCTCCCACCCTGGTAAATACAGCATCGGGTTACTTTACCATCATTTGTTCAACTCATCTTTGTAAATCGCAAACATAAGACACAGTTTCCTTTTAAGTTTTGATATATTTCATTCAATTTTCTAGAGGGGAAAAGCCACAGTATTTCAAACTGTTGGGCTGTAAAGCAATACTAGGGGGCTTACTACCAGAGTCCTCTGATGCAACCCCAGAGTCAGGCCTCCAGTCAGTGTGGAACCATTTTCCTGTGACATATGAAAGTCACATTGTGTTTGGGGATAATTTTTTTAACATGAGCCTTTCAGCCTTGAACGCAGCCTCCACTCTTGCCTTGAATATCCTCGCAGGTTTGACTAAATCATCTCATACATTATTCATTAAGCTCCTTAAAATGGAGTGTGAGCAAACATCTTTATCTTTACCCTAAAAAGAGAGAACTACTAGAGCCTGTTGGAACACTGGTGATAATGAACAGGTCACAAAGCCCTGAGGTAATGTAATGTTTTTGATTTGGATTTCATGCTGCCCACTTAACTAAGGCAGTGAGTAGCACTAATGACCACAGGGTGCTCTTAGAATACTGCAGAGCTTCAGAAGGACACTTCTAAAAGTCACGTTGCCCTGTAGAGAAAGAAGTTTGATGTCAATATGTGCTCAACACTCGTCGCGGCCTGAGAATAATGGTATCCAGACATCATTGGAAATCTTTGCAATGCAGAGAGCCAACTTGATATATCTTCCCCATGGTGCACTGTGGTTGTATAATTTCCCAGAAGTATGGGGGAGGGTGAGTAGGAGTCCTATTGGCTTTTGTTCTGTTTGCATGCCTGTTGTCAGCTAGGTTGTGCACTGGCTTAACACTGACTCTACGCAGCAGAACATCGCCCACGGTCCTCCTGGCAGCTTTAGAGTAGGATGATATAGAGATGGAGAGGCTTGTTGACTTATAATGTCAATTACCAATGCTTGTGTTATGCCTGAGGTAAAGTTTAAAATCATTTGCAGAGATGGAAAGGGTTTGTATTAGCATGCCTATCCTTGTGTGAGTACACTGCAGAGGTGTGGAGTGTTCTACAACCATGGTTCACTTACAATGTAGAGAAATAATCCTGGTTACAGCCACCAACGATGTATGCAGAGTATATGAAGTATAGTAGATGCATGTGTCATTCCACAGTATTGCTTCAGATAACACACATTATCAGCCCCACATATTGTACATAATGAACTTACAATGTATTTTGAAATCTTTGTACTGCCTGTCCTCTATGGCCACCACGTACAGAGAGGCACGGTCAGGAAACATTAATCCACCGGGTTTCTGTTTGACAAACGAGACAAGGAAATAACTCGCAATTAGTCCAGAACAGATTATAAAAGGGCTATTACAACATCGGTGATATTGTATTCCTCAGCCAAGTACAACTTTAAATTATTGAGGTGTTATTCACTGTGCGCAGACTGGCACAGCAGAGCTGTTCGTGATGTACAATTATAAAACTTTAACAATTGTTTTCCAATAACAAGATCATACAGAAGGGACCTTGAAAGGGCTTAAAGTAAAAAGTAATGCTGGTATCCGCCCTGTTATTCGGATCCCCTCCAAAATGTAATGGGTTTTCATTGGCCCATGCTACACCCTTCTACAGGGTTTGATGAAAATCCGAACAGAAAGATACAAATATTATATTGGCTACTTAGCTTACTTTGTCTTCTTCATCAGCCAGCATCCTTGGTATCTGTTGCTCACTGAGTTTATTCTCTTTTCAAATAGTGCGACTGTGTTGATGTATGAAAACGATTTTAGAACTGGTTTATAAATGGTTCTTAATGATTAATAAGTCTTATTATAAAGTGGTACCAAAAGATCAAACCAAAAATAATTAAACCCTTGGCAGAGGGAGAAAAGCAATGCAAACTGGTTAATAATGTAACATGCCTGCTAACAATATAGAATTCTTATTTGAATGCTTTCCTACAATGATTTTCCTCCTGTTAATGTTATTGCATTAAAGAGCATATTGTGTTAACAGTAAAGTGAACTTATATTTGATTTTTGCTGTTTTATCATAGTCAATTTTAATACTTCTTATATTAAGATTGTGTTAAGGGGTTACCAGATAAATGGAATGGATTCTCAATCCTACCAAAACAAATCCCCCTTTTCCTTATATTTTATTTTAAGGATAAACTAGCATATCTATACACACACTCACACACACTCCACCCATCCTACCAGCCACTTGTCCCTGGCAAATATGACGGTGTTGAGCATGGACTCATAGAAGAGGCTGTAGCCCATCCACTCAGATATTATGATGTCAACTTTCTCAACGGGAAGCTCCGCCTCCTCCACCTTGCCTTTGAAGATGGTGATCACTGCAACACACACAACACATTGTTTTGAATGCTCTTATTTTGGCGTACAAAATACAAAATCGAATGAAGTTATGATAATGCCTGAAAGAGTATAAATATGTTCACAGGTACACATAGAAAGCAGATTTAAGTCTCAAAGTAAGAAACATCAGTTCGTACAGTATGTGTTTTCATGGCAGCCATAGTGTTCTTATGGAAATCACCCCGTTGTGCTTTACGTAAATATGGAGGTGGGATCACCCTTCCTGAGATGAGCTTTGTGTCAGGACCTCGACACAAACTGATGAACCCAAATGCACAACCCATAGACAAAGTTGTGAATGTAATCAAATGTATTTATTAATTTCAATGATCAGGTAATCCCTCTTAACAGAGTAGGAGCTGGAATAAACAAAAAGCGCTCACAAGGAGGAAAAAAATAATCATAACAAAAGGAGAACTTAAGAAAAAACTTAAGTCTACATAAATCAACAAAATAACATAACCTGACATGCGAGAAAACAATCCTTTCGGAGTTGAGGCTTGGGACGACCATTCGGGGAAACAAACAAGACGACCTGACACAGGACAGGGGAAGACAGGACTATTCAAACATGAGGTGAGTGGGAACAGGTGGAAACAATCAGGGGCGGGGCAGACACTAGCCGTTTCTCAATGTCGAGTAAAGCTGCTGGAGAGCCACTATTTCAAGTATACTACGTCATCGAGTGGCGCCGAAGGACTGTTTAAATGCCCAGCGTTCGGCGCCACTCGATGACATAGTATACTTGAAATAGTGGCTCTGCAGCAGCTTTACTCGACATTGAGAAACGGCCACTGATGATGGCGGGAAAAACACACAAGGGGAGGAAGAAACAGGGCCTGAAATGAAAGACAAGAGGTAAGTACAAAATAAAACAGGAAATGACAGACATAATACATAACTAACACATTTGACGAGACACAACAGTTTGTTTGTTTGTTTGTTTGTGTGTTCAGCCTTGAAAATAAGTAATTGACAAGTTCATCCGGTGATACAAAGTGTCCGTCAGAATGACAAGCTAACCCTTATAATTCAACTAGTGATTGCTACATAGTGTTAAATCCCCTTCCAATTACCAGTGCATACTTGATATTCATAGGTTTGGCTTTGGCTGACAGAGTGGTTTATGGAGCTATCATTTGGTAGATACACAGTCAGAAGCTTGGGAGTAAATTTGTTTTCAAATTTACCGAGGTGTTATGATTTAAACATACAGTATGCTTTGAAGTTTCAATGTGCAAATGAATACAAATGAGATGGTCCAATGCAGTATGGAATAATCAACACAGGATCAGAGACACTATCCTTCAAAATCTTGATCTTTAGGATACCCCACACTTCTTCTACTTCTTCTTTTTCTTCTTCCTCATTCACTACTGTATGTATTTCACGACTGAAAGCTAGTTCGTTGCTCCCTTCACTGCATGCAAAGTGCAGTCTAATTAGATCATAGAGAGGGTGAATAGCTGCAGATCTTACCGCTGTCGAGGTGGTTGGACTTGATGATCCTCTCTGAGTACTCTGATATGCTGGAACATTCTATCTGGCAGGGAAAAAGAAAATGAACTAATTAAATAACCATGGATGGAGGACTGCTTTAGGAAGAATATCTTTAATGGACTGGCATCACTTGCAATAACATGCCCTTTAAATGTTACCGCTGTACGGATGTTGACCTTGGATACAAGCTCTATCAGCATAAATTGTCCATATATAAACCTCATTTGAAGGGGGGTGCAGGAGGAGAAGATACCTACTGAACCTAATTTGAAGGGGGGTGCTGGAAGAGAAGATACCTACTGAACCTAATTTGAAGGGGGGTACTGGAGGAGAAGATACCTACTGAACCTAATTTGAAGGGGGGTACTGGAGGAGAAGATACCTACTGAACCTAAATTTGTGTATATAGAGTGCCACAGTGACTTGTCCTAAAACCCGGAAGTAATCTTCTTCCGGTTCCTTCGACAAAAAAGCAATGCAATTTCTTAGGATTCTGGAAAATACCTCGAAATAAGTTCTGTGGTTGACACACATTCAAGAGACGGATCACGTTTTGTTCAGTTTGATAATCTCCACATGTCTACCCTACTTTTATCATTTTCTAATCATAAATCGAATTGATAGATCTATGATCGATAGATTTATGATTAGAAAATTATAAAAGTAGGGTAGACATGTGGAGATTATCCGACTGAACAAAACGTGAGGGGTACAGTTGTGTGTGTGTGTGTGTGTGTGTGTGTGTGTGTGTGTGTGTGTGTGTGTGTCAGGTATACTTATTTTATTTTTTTATCCTGTTATTTATTTCCACAACTTCCAGGTAAGTAGCCTTGTCAGAGTCTTAGAGATGAGCCAAGCCCACACAAGTTCTAATTTCTCTGCCCACGCGTGCTATGTGTGTCACTCTATTCTCTATTCCACCTAATCGTTAGCCAGGACTGCCTCTAAGGTGGCCTTTTGACTTAGTTTGCGTGTGGGATATGACGAAAATATTGAAAGATAAAATACGAAGCGTTTACAGGGTGACCAGCCTCTGTGCCAGGCCCTGAAACACTGCCAGAGAATCTTAGTACAAGTAATTAAAGGGAAGATTAGTCACCGCATTACTGCAACCAGCCATTTTGCTCCGATGGGACCTTATACTTCTAGATGAATTTTCATTTTAAATTATTTAAAATGATCCTCACCCTACAATTTTTTTCTTACACCCATTGATTCAAATACCCAGTTCCCTGTCCCATTTTCCTACAGGCAGGCTCCCATCTTTTTACTTTTAGCAAGTCCTAAGCTTGACATATATCTTCCTATTCTGCCCACCTCTGCGGGACTGATGGCTGATTTATTGAGGCGCCAGCAGTAACATAGTTATAACACAATACAGCTCCCTCATTCATCAGAATAAACTCGGGGACACTTCTAGCAGGCAGCTCCAAAACTAAATGAGAGCATAATTCAGGAGGAGGCATTTGTCAATACGGACCTTTTACAGCATCAGGGAGTCTGAGAGTATTGATTTTCCCCTCAGTGTGTACTCTGTTCTACCTGCCCTGGGACTCGGTTTGTCAGAGTTGTTCCAACTTATTCATGCTGCCAGAGATCCATCTGGTGGTAATCAAACAGGGGACTCTTGAATGAACTCTAGGTGCTGTGGATTAAAAAACGAAAAAAGGCAAAGCCCGATGGGACACTTGTGGAGAAACGTTAAATAATGGAAGCACTCAGTTGTTGCCTCGGACTCTCATGGTACTTTTTGGTCAAGGGGGTACTCAGGGTATATGCAGAAATCCTGGGGTCAAATGTAATACCTTTTAAGACCTTTTTTAAGACCCTTTCCATACATTTTAAGACCTCATCGCAACTTTGAGTTCTAACCGGTTACATTGGCGACACACTTGACCTCACATTTACTATATTGATTGTAAGATAGCACAACTAAACAGAGTGCAAAGAAAAATACCTTTATTCCAAGGCCAAAAACAGAACACTACCCCGAGACACAGTCAAAGACAAACAAGGAACTCACAAAGACTAACAGAAAACACAGAACCTAAATGCACACGAGACTAATCAAACAAACAAGAGACAGGTGAGGAGAAAACACAGGGGCCCCAGGTGAACATAGTCGGGTAATCAGGTAGGAGGGAAAACAGACAGAAAGCAACAGGCAAGATAGGGGGTGAACACTTTTCAAAAATAAAACAGGAAACCAAAGACAGAAAAAGACAAGACAAAACACAACACAGACAGATCGTGACAGCACCCCCGCGTCAAGGGACGGATCCCATACGTCCCAAAAAAAGTTCAGCAGGTGGGTGGAGGGGGACCGGAGGAGGGACACAAAACTAGGGCCAACAGGGTGGGCGGAGGGGGTCCGGAGGACGGGCCGACAGCACAGAGGGACGGACAGAGAACCGACACTAGACGCTTAATAATTAATAAGAAAAAATTAATTTAGATTTAATCTTTTCAATAACTAATGTAGTTACCGTTTACACTTTGTTTGTTTACCCAAACCTTGGTTTTTGTATTTCGGTTGTGGTCCACTAATCCGGGTTTCACCGGGTCGTGGGGAAGCGACATCCTAAACCCAGCGTGAGATGGTATGCAGATGATTGTACCCACTATAGTAGGACACAGTGCTGCACTAGAATCGGAGAAGCACAGAATAGGACCCATCGCGTTCTAATGAGCCACCACGCGATCTCTCGTCCTTCTGCTGTTCACCTAAGCGCACCGAGAGAGATGCGAGGAAGAGTGTATGCGAGGTGAAACGCCACACTGCTCGAAGTTCCCGAGTGATAAGATCGCCACGCCTTCGCTCTCGCACTAAGAGTGTGACTCGATGCAACGCAGCCAGCGCGTGCAACGACGAGCTCCGTCATCGAAGTGAAGACCGAGAGACACACAGAAAGAGTAAGTCGAGGACGAGAACACACACACACCGTGCCCTCGGTAAAACACACGCGCGCCCGAAGAACGTCGGGACCCACCCGGCTGGCTGACCCATCTAGCAACACCAATCGTAGACACGATCGATCGGTTCGCATTGCTAGCTATTCACTCGAAAAAGTTTGTTGTTCACCTCCGCTCTTGAGAGAGAGACAGTGTGACTCTAGAGTCTATTGGACGTCGAATCCACTTCTTCTCCTAGGAGATACAAATCTATCAATTGAAATCAGGGGATTCCAAATGAGAGTCACCCAGGAGTTTTGCAAAACAAAATTTCCCCTCACCTCAAACATTTTATAGATATTTCTTCTATCATTTAGACAAATCGTCAAGACAAGTATACATACAACTCTCTACATAGGTATCTAGAGAAGTAGAAACGAAGAGTTTCACGTGGGTCTAACTACCGAAAATTGAAGTTATAAATTTTCTTTTAGAAAGGCCTTCGTAAAGGTTTTACGTTCTAGCGCCGCGCCCCACGATCACTAGCGGCGCGGACAATCTAATTGTAATTGTACGAATATAACATCAAGATCTCACGTTACGGGGAACGCCGGACATCGTGTTAGGGACTTACCTCGTATCACACCCCGTCCTTTCCTCACTCGTCTCTCATCTCATCAACCGCTAAAACACAAAGACCAAAAGACACTGATAGACGGGAGTGGGGGAGGAGTCTGAAAGTCAACGCGCGGCGGATGATTTCTCTGCACAATGGTACCTTTGGGTTTGTACCACATCCGACGATAAGTTTAGGCTGACCTTTGGCAGGACTCATTTAGACTAAACAGTCTTAGCCCTCTTTATACTTGGGGGCCTTCTTTGGCCCTGCTCCCGTTACTTTAGCCCTCAGAGGCGCTTTTAGCCCCCCAACTGGTTCATACTAACGTCATCTTTTAGAGTTGACATTCGCCGACCCACGGTAATTAACCCTTTTGAATTTCAAACTCGTGGAGATACTTTGCAGTTCGATGGTGTGTCGTGGGATTCTCTTTCTAGAGACCGCGGCGGGTGAGCGCATAGTTTGTGAGCCATAGTCTAACCACTTTCTGTCGTCTATGCTTAGTCAACACATGTATACGGTAAATGAGCACCTCATCTTCGGTACTCCCGGTTTAATGTCTCACTTCACTTAACAATCGTCTCTTTTCTCCTCCTATGGGTCCTGCCTGGGGACACCTTGGGGTGTCATATCCATGGTGCGAACAATACAGTGATTTTATTAACCTATTCGTGTGTTATACTAAAAAGAAAAGGTTTTGTTACAATGGCGCAATTTCACTTAATTCATCACAAAAAACAGGGTAAAATTCTAATTATCACAGTGCTTGACAGACACCAAGCACAAACACAGAAGAGAGAGGAAGACAAGAAACCAAACGCCGAAAAATAAAACTTTTCACCAAGTGGGGTGACAGAACGACAGACGAAAGACAGACAAAAGGGAGTGGACTAATGGGCTAACACAATGGCAACACGGGCCACCATAAAGAGACGGAGGGAGGGAGTGGACAGAAACAAACAAACGTAATCAGGACACACCGTAAATCAGAAACAAAAGACAATCAGAAACACTCAAGGAAGCAAACAGAAACTGAACACAGAGCCTCACAAGACAGACAAAACTGTAAAACCGGAACCTTATTGCCTAAAAAAGAAACTTTAGACGTCAAACCCAGGACGGAGCGAATGCAAGTTAGGGACTGTCTTCCTTGGGCAGTGGTTCCTACCCGGGTCGTTCTAAGGAAAACTCGGATATTAATGATGTCAAAAAGGAAAGAAGCGACCGAATGAGACTATTCACCCCCTCGCAGACCTCAAGTCGTCGCTCTCCGACTAGACCGACTCCGCGTGGTCTACCGAATACCTCTTACTGGTCCATATATCACTTTAGACCCTCGCCACCGGACTAGAACCTGAAGGAGGAGCCTACGACACGTAAGGGGCGGCCGGACGTCGGCGGTCCGTAAGCAATCGAGGGACGGAGGGGTCGAGGGTTGGACTGTGTGCGGGAGCCACACAAGGTAGACCCAGCCGGAGCACGAAGAAGGGGTCAAGACGAGGGACCAGGCCGCTCGGGGGCAAGAGACCTCG